ACATGTATCCACATGGGCTTGGCAGGGTACCTGAGCCATGTAGTTGTAAAGGACCAGTAAAATGTGGCACTACTGTGGCTATCACTGGGAACCTGACCATGAGTAGGGCACAAGTGGGCTGCTGAGACCGCCAAGCCCTGGTGCAGTCAGATGGAAATTGCTAGGTTGCTAGGGGCCTTTCTCTGGGTGCATATCTCTGGGTACACATGGATGCATTCTCTGAGTGACTTATAAAGAAAAGCAGATGCTGAGTGACGCTTCCTGCCCTGACAGCAAGTGTTCTCTCTACACAAATGCATGCCAAACACACAGATACCATGCACAGACAAGCCACCCAGCATGTCCATTTGCTACTGGTTTTCCCTCTGAGGCACCCAGAGAGAGAGATGAGGAAGAAGAGAGATATTTTAAGGTGAACTCAGGCTTATTTACATTTTGCTGGCCCAGCAATGTGTACCTATAAGCTAAACGTGAAAAACTGACATCAGAGGAAGGATTGCTCACCAGGCAAAGCAAATTTAAAATAGAGATTAGAAGGTCAAGGGGCTGGAGTGATGATGGCTCAGCAGTTAAGTGCCGGTGCTACTTGTGCAGAGAACCTGAGTTTATTCTCAAGAAACGACATAGAGTGCCTCACAACCGTGTATGATTCTAGCTCCAAGGGGTCCAACACTTCTGGCCTGTGTGGCCAGTGTATTCACACACACAGACTCAGGCAAGTGATTAAAAATAATTTTAAAAATCAATCTTTAAAAAAGACTAAAAGGACAAATTTATCAGTTCCCCACTGCAGACTATATGGCATCCCCTGTGAGGTATGCCTGGCAGGCCTCTACTCAGGTGGCAGGTGCCTCCAGGGACACACTTCCCCCTTGCTGTGCTTGGCCAGGCGTAAGACTCCCATGGTGTCTTGGCCACATCCTTGGGCTGTGCTGAGTGCCCACGTCACAGACCTGGCCTTGACTCTAAATGTGCAAGAACAGTGCAGATTCTTAGACTTTTCCAGTCTCTGTTTCCCCAGCTGTGAAACCTTAGGACCCATGTGGAGCTTAGGTGAACCCATGTGTCTAGCACACAGCAGACACTGACTTTCTGCTGTCTTCCCTTTACCCTGGCTCACCTGTGGTCCTGTGGGGCCACAGTTCTGCAGGGCTGACACCTGATAAATAGGGTCTCAGAGAAAATCAGAGTTGGTGACTATGCTGTGAGAAAGTGGAAGCACGTTGGTCTTCAGGATTCTGGCACTTGGAAAGGACGCTTCTCTCTTTCTGAACAACAGTATCTGAGGGCTCTGTATCCATGAGCATGTAATAAATAAAATGCCCCGGGCATCCCACTCCTAAGAAGCTACATGTCCTGTGTGAAGGAAGAGGTTTAATGAAGCATAAAATCCAATCTTATCTTTCTGCAAACCTAAATGATGCATCTCTCAGCAGCTTCTATACTGAGGGAAGTGGGCACTAAGCTGGCTCTCTCATTCATGGTGGTGTGCCTGAATGCTCAGTTCCAGCTGGGCAGATAGAGGCAGTGAAGGCTCAGCTATGTTAATTTTCTAGTTTCCCATTTCCCTGCCTTTTTATTTCATTAGAAACCACATCTGTTTAAGGTAAACATGAAATGTTAAAAGAATCCTTTTCTGATTTAAAGGTCTTAAGATGACTTGAGGCATTTGATATAAATAATCTTCAGTTTTAGTTTTAGCAGGAAAATATGGAAATGCTCCTTTTAACGTTCAGACACAAGTTCAAAGTCCTTGTTCCATTAAATCACACAGGGACTCTAAAATAATGAGTGAAAGCTAATCAGCTAACTCCCCAAAAGTAAATGGCCTTCAGTCTTCAACATCTGCTCCTTCAAGGCCTCAAGAATGACTGTGAGACCTGTCAGAAGTTGGTGGGCATTTATCATAGCTGCTCACAGTCTTTTCAGTGCAGTGTGTGATTCCCGGATATGACAGGAGATGCTAACTGACTCCCATTCACTAAGCTCAGATTTGAGTAGATGTGCATCCCAGACTTGAGTGAATTCTGTCCACTCTGGGCAGTTCTTTACTCAGCAGGTAAGTGGGTAGGGATGGCTTCATCCTGGTAAAGAAAGCAGCACTGTGGGCCAGAGCAGGCTTTCTCTGTCCATAGCCCTGCACTGTTACACATGGAGGTAGCCTCCATACCTACAACACACATCAGCAAAGCAATCTTAGTCTTGACTCCAAACCACAGCCTTTACTTTGTTTTAACATGTATTTGTTGAGAATCTACCCCATGCCCGGTACTGAGGAGAGAACATTGAACCATCAGCTACCCTCTATCCTCATGGAACAGTGTGGTGGGTGAGGGATGAGAACAGCAGACAGATGGTGGTAAAAATGTCCTGAGAGAGAGGCCTGTGTGGTATCTTCACAGAACACCCAGGAGCAGCGCATCCCTGAATAGGGTTTACTGCTGCCCTTCTCCAGACCCCTTTGAGTACAGACCTCTCTGCACCTACAGTCAGCCCCCTCAGGAAGGGGACATCCATCAACAGTGGTAGCCTCACGCTCTATCTCTGCTAGGAAAGTTCTCTGTGCCAAGAGAACACTGCTGCTCAAGCCTCAGACTGCATGGGAATGAAGTGAGAAGGCCAAGAGATGAGAGAAAAAAATAAGAAAATTGAACTTCTGATGCCTTCTTTAGGCAGTTGCCCCACCTGAGAACCTCTCCATAGGAAGGCATGTGCAAAAGCGTATCTCTAATAAAAGTACTTGAGCCAAACTTGCTGAGAGTCCTGGCAGGGATAGCCTCTGCAGGTGGATTCAGGGAGTTGGGATGCTTTCTTGCAGGTATGCTCTGATGTCACATGTTCAGTGATCTGAGGCTACATGTATACCTGACTGCACAGAGTTCCAGCAGCCCCTGGTCTCTGCAGGTGTGACATGCAGCCAACAGTGACCAGGGGAGAGAAACTTTGTCTGGCTGCAGCCCTCAGCCAACCCATGGACCCTGTTCTCTGGAAGAACACAGGTTGTAGGGTCCCAGCTCACCTCTGTACCCACCAGGCTCTGCACAGCACCAGCAGAGCTGGTGAGAACAACAGAAATGGGTCACCAACCTTTGTTTAACGGGCTGGAGTATCTTGGGCCCTGCTCCCTAGGCAGTTGATGAGCTCCAGGGCTACTTCCCCTGTTACCATGGAGGGCATACATAAACCTGGTGAGATTTGGGCTGCCTAGTGACCCGTACAACTCCCAGGACCCATCAGTCATTCTCATCAGCATTCTGCTGTGTCCAGAGTCAGATACTGTTCTCACAACATCAAGGGACAGAACAAGGGCAGCTTAACAAGGATTTATGGTTTGTTTCCTTAAGAGTGGGCTCACATCATGTGTCATTCTTACGGAATCCTGCAATCCCAGCCATCTTGGCTCCCTCTGCTTCTGCCCCTGCTGTGAAGAATTGTCTTTTCCCACCCTATCTCCATGGTGCATATACAGTATATATGGACTGTGGTGTGTAAATGTAGTCTTCACATGTCTTTCCTGTTGGTAGTATCCCCTCTGTGGCCATGAAAGAGAAAGATCATACCCTGGTTCTCTCATCTGTCATATGGGCATAGTGTTCACACTGGATCTACAGTCCCCTGGGAGGAGGGTCCTCTCTGGATGGCTGCTTGTCCCAGAAGTCCAGTGTATTGTTAGTGTTTGTCTTATCACACAGGGAAACAAAGAACATGCACCTTGCTTTCATCCTTAGACATGTCCCTAGGCAAGAAAGGCCTATGAACAAAGGATATAAAGTCTGTACCTAGTAGAACCAGAGATCCATGATTAGTAGGTTGCAAAGGGATAAGAGATTTGGTTTGAAGGCCAGGAAACCTTTGGTTTCCATAGGACTCTCATTTTGTTCTAGACTCTTCTTCAGGGCTTCCTTTGTTCTTACATGAATCCTAGTGTGCTGTGTGGTTTCTGCTTCGACATACTATGAAGGCCCCTTCTAGAGTCAGGAGGGCCCTGTGGGAATTCTGGGCATCTATCAGCCTCTGATACCTGCTATATTTCAGGAGCCTCCAGGAGCTTACTGCCCCGGGACAGGGTCAACAAGACCCCCATCCCCTGTCTTGGTACAAGATCCTCAAGCTGGCTCATCTTTCCTCACCTGTGGAACTGAGGCCTCCATCCACTTTCCTAGCTGAATCTTGTGAGCAAATGTCTGATGCAGGTTCCTCCAGCAGTTCAAAAACCAGCTGGTGCCTTGTATCCAAAAGGAGCAGAGCCCTTCTGCCAGTTTTTCCAGTCCTCACTAGTAATGCAAGTACATTAAGGTATCTTTGGTATGTCACAAGACGGGTTGATGTATGTTCAGCCTTATCTGCAAATAAGGCTTAAAAGTATAAGTCAAATTGTTAATAACAGTACAAATATTACTAGGAAACAGGCAGTCACAAATATCTCGTGAGGCCACCCTTTCTGAAAAGAACCCCAGAGTTCTAGTCCAGCTCAAGCTGACTAGATAAACCTGACAGGAATACCAGGTCCAGCTAGTTTAGTGGATATAGAAATTTCCCTGAGATTCCTCTTGCTCAGAATATCAGACTATAGATAGCATAGAGAAAAGGGGAAAACTTGTAAGATCCAGAAACCAGGTCCAGGGTACAGGTAGGAGGTATCCTGGAGTCTGGGCATCACTCTGCCTCACTGGGCCTCTTCTGTGGTACAGAATAAAGAGCTCTACCCACGTAGCTCCTGGCCATCCTTTTCCATAGACTAGGGCACTGCTATGCCTTCTGCAGACCCACAGTACCAGGAACACACTTGCCTTCTTCCTCCAACCTCAAAGATTTGTGGTAGGATGGAGTCAGGTAAGGGGTGTATGAGCTTGTTGTAAACTGTAGAGCCCTGCAGACACCAGCTACTCTTTAGGTTGGGTTCCTCTAAAGATGAGCTCTGTATGCCCTGTGCCTGCTCTCTTGTCCACCATGTCCCTCAAAGATGTTCACTGACCCTTGGCTTTGTCCTCTGCCCACAGGTACTTGGCCCTCTATGCATACAAGCCCCAGAAGAATGACGAACTAGAATTGCGCAAGGGTGAGATGTACCGTGTGCTCGAGAAGTGCCAGGATGGCTGGTTCAAGGGGGCCTCACTGAGGACCGGGGTCTCCGGAGTGTTCCCCGGAAACTATGTGACACCTGTCTCCAGGTGAGAGCCTGGAAACCTGGGCCAGAAGGGAGCAAGGAGTACATTCCCTTAACGCTGTATAAACTCTGGAGGCCGCACCATGGGCTGGCCCCTGGATACACTCGGTCCAGAGGTGGTGGGGACATTTTAATTCCTGTTAGGGAGTGGCTCCCCTGCTGAGTCTGGTTTCTTGGCTTTGCTCAGTGAATACTGACTACTCAGGAGATAAAATGAGAGCAGGAGCTGGAGTCAGGGCAGCAACAGCAGTTGAGTGGGGATCTCAATAGCAAGATCTCTAGAGCATGTGTTTGAGTGAGGCCAGTGTATGTACATATATGCAACATGTGGAGGGTATTATCAAGTGTAAATTCTCATATAGGTGCTCATGAGTACAGTGTGTGTGTGTGTGCATTGAGTATGGGGCATGTGCATGCATATAATAGAGTTGTGTAATACGTATAAGCGTGTCTTCATTCAGTGTATACCCCACATTGGTGTGTGTACCCATACATGTGCATGTGTGCATGTATTTACAGTTTGATGTGTGTATTGTCTATGCATGTGGGTGTGTATAGTGTGTCTGTCCATGTATGTGCATGATACAGGTACAGTTGCATATGTGTCTATGTGCAGTGAGCACAGCATGTATGCATGTGCATAGCAGATGTGAATTTGCAGTGTGAGCACAATGTGTGTGTGTGTGTATATATATATATATACATATATAGTATGTACAGCACATATACAATTTTAATATGAGAACAGTACGCACATATATGTCATGCCTGTGTGCACAGAGTGCATCAACATACCCAGATCTGTAAGATGTAAAACACACAGCCATGCAAAGGAAAATGATACATGCCTTAAAGTAATAATTGTTAACTGGTAGCAAGCATTATGAGGAATTTAAATTTTTTTCTTCCTTGTACTTTCTAGCATTTTACAAATCTGGATTATAAAACTTATAAAATAAAAAAGTAATTATTGAAGTTCACTGAAGAGGAAACTCAGAGTTGTCTGAGAAGTTTCCATGTTTTACGAGGTCCCTGAATGGCTGTCTCAGTGTCACTCACAGCATCCCCTTGAGGCACAGTCCTGTGTCAACACTAGAGGACATGTAAATAAACCAAAGATGTGACACTTGGGTTTTGACTGTCTTTGGAAGAAGACTGTGAGGAAAATGCTGAATCATCCCTGTGCCTGCCTCAATTGTCAGACTGATGTGTCCCAGTGACTTCAGAAGGTGCCTGGGAAGACATATTGTTGGTGTCATGGCTTAGGGGACCTGGGTATTCTGCAGCCAGGGCTTCATGGAGTATACTCAGAGGCCTGGGGAGAACAGCTGACCTGAGGTCCTGGGGAAGGGAGTTATAGACACAACGTCTGTGCTGAGTGATCCTTCACTCAGGTGACTCTCAGCAGGGAGAAGCATGAGGAGCAAGCTGCAGGGGACCTTCACGAAAGCCCTCTGCCCTAAACCGTGCTACCTAGGCAGAGAGGTGGCTGCTTAGGGCATGAGCTCCCGACATGTCCCTTGGGGAATTTGTACACTATAAGCACAGTGTGTGTGTGTGTGTGTGTGTGTGTGTGTGTGTGATGTATGTGCAACACATGTACATTTGTAAAATGAGCACAGCATGAGTAGGGCAGCTTGACCAGTATACCTGCCTACCCCTTACCCAATCCTGGCAAAACCTGAAGCCTAGAATCCTCAGCTGTGGAAGGAGTTTCACCAGCTTCAGTGGTTCCCCTCACATACTCCAGGTCTAGAATGCATCTCCACCTCTTCCTACTACCCAGTAAAACTTGGCCTCTCCTTCAGGAGCTGGGTCTTAAGTGCACTTTCTAAGGAAAGCTGTGTCCTGTGTCCCTGTCCAAAGCCTGTGAGTTCTGCTCATTATGGGTCATGCAGAGCCACTTGGGCACAGCAGCCATCTCTAGCTTTGCACCCCAAGGTCCTTGCATACTATTTTTACATACTAGGTGCTCAATAAGTGAAGGTTGAGTAAATCTGGTAGTTCTGATAAAAACTCTGTGATTAGGATTGTCCACATCCTGCCAGGACTTTGCTATATAAAGGCTGGATTGGAATGAAACTGGAACTCTGGGAGACCTGGGCCACCTGAGCCTGTGCCCCTCATAAGTTGCTGACTTCCTTTGAGCCCCTCTCTTCAGCTAGATATGTTTTCAGAGCCAAGAAGACCATAAAACAGATGTCCCTGCAGGTCTGACTCTGGTGGCTGAAGTACTAGGATGTCCCTGATGTCCTCTGTAGTTCCTCAAAAGAAGGAATTTCCAGGATTCCCCAAAATCAGTATCTCAGAGGTCTGGGCTTCACAGCTGGGCATACAACTTACCACAAAGTGGGAAAGCTGGCTTTGGTCTTTATTCATAGTAGAAGGCTGTCCCTTCTGAGGTGCTGTCCCAGGACTGCCACTATTAATTATCCTCACTGTATCCATCAGGACAGGTATGGAGGGACCTCAGGACAGGTATCAGAGGGACAAGAGAAAACCTAGCTTGTATGTGCAGACCTAAAGCTACCTTCTGCCCAGACCTAAGTCATCTCAAAGTACTCTGACATAGAGAGATGCATGCATAGAACTGGTTTATAGCTGTGCTCCTACAGGACTTGGGCTGGCATGCTGGCAGTCCACCCTTTCAGTAGAGGCAAACTTCAGGATGGCCCTGACGCTGAGGAAGAACCACCATGCCAGTGGCTCCTTAGCAGTGATCCCCTTTCTGGGAGGCCCCTCTCCCCACAACTGCTACACTGAAGCCCCTCTGAATGCTATGGGTCTCTTCTCCACTTGGAGGAATCTACCAGGCCACAGAGAGGTAAAGGTGAACCTGGCCCAGGAAAGGCAGGGGCTAGGCAGAGCCTCTTATCCCACCATGCCTTCTGCTGTCTTATGAGAGAAATTCTAAAGAGACAGGAATTGGAATTTACCTAGTCCCTGGACGAGTAGAACACGTTTTAATCCCCTTGAACCACAGCCCAAAGGAGCTTATGAGCCCCAAACTCCACCCCCAGAGCCAAGGCATGAGTCGAAGCAAATACATGAATAGAGAAAGAGTTCAATGTCATTTCCAGTGATGCTGTGCTCATCTCTTATAAAATGGTTTCATCCAGGAGCTTTGGAGTGAAAGGGCATCTATTTGAGATATAAAGAAGCAAGTTCCCTGACATTTTCAGAGGGGAATAGTGTTGCTGCCTGGGCCCTTTTCCTGTGGCTGGCAGAAACATTAGGGTGCTATGTCCAGTAGGAGTCAGCACAGTGTCCCCACCATGCTCTAGATGTGTCTTCTAAAACATGACTGAGCCCACCATTCTTTCTGGTTATGTTAGAAGCGTGTAGCTCTTTTTCAGCATAATCAAGCATAGCTGTGATGCTAGATACTTGATTAGGATCATTCATCTCTTCCTTAGAGTTCTTTGTTTCATGAATCTTCATTTGGGCTACATGAAGGATACTCTTCTCAGTTTGATCTCTGGGCATACTTCAACTAAACACTGTTTTATATTGTTTTAGGACTTTCATGGACCCACTTGACCTTCATCTCTCAGACCCTGTGGGTCAAAACTGGCCTTTGCCATGGCACATATGCTGATTTTATCTGAGCCTACTCACTGATGTGATTTTGCTTATTTCTCTAGGGTTCCTGGAGGAGGGGCTGGGTCACCGTGGAATAATGTGCTTGGAGGGTCTCCGTTGGCCAAGGGGATGGCAACCACCATGCACCCTGGTGGTGGAAGTCTGAGCAGCCCAGCCACTGCCACAAGGCCTGTTCTGCCCCTCACCACACCACAGGCCCACACGCAGCTCCCAGCTGCCTCCCTACCGACAGGCAGCTGCCTTCGGCACACAGCCCAGACAACAGCCAGCCAGGCCCATGGCACCATCCCAACAGGTATGGATACAGACTCTTAGGGATTTTCCCTGACAGGGATTAACAAGAGGATTCCTGGGACACATATTAGATACATTTTGGCCCAGGTCTCTAACAAATCAGCATGTGGTAAGCGTCAGGTTTGCTTAAATGCTGGAGCTGACAGCGTGACTATGGTCTCAGCTTCTCCTTGTATAAAATGAGATGGTATGCTCACTGCCTAGGGTGACTGTGCAAGGATGATATTTGCATGTACCTTGTGCTATTCTGTAGAGAATAGGAATATGTAACACATATGAGACAAAAAAGTAAACAGGAATTCTTACTGAAAGTTCTAAGGGGGTGGAATTTAAGGGCAGTGTGAGGATTTTAAACCAGGGAATAACACTTTATCAGAGACCACCATGACACAGGGGAGAGAAGATCTGGCATGGGCAGCCTGAGCCTAAAAGTAAGAGGCAGCTAGAGAGAGTGAGAGGCTGAAATGGGCCTGACCAAGTGAGGGGCTGTGGCGTGGGCAGAGGGCAGGGCGCTCCTAATGAGGCACAATGGTTCCATCTGAGAGAGGAACTGTAGAGATGGAATCCTGGATCTAGAGGAACCAAGTCCAGGATGCAGATTATGGAACTTGTTACTTGGGAGAATGAAGTAGCGTGCCCAGCCAGGAAGATTCCAGAGAGGAACTGGCTTATAGAAAGATGGTAAACCAAGTTTAGACATGTGACTTTGAGAGATGCAGTGGGTGTGGGGCACCCTGGGTGTCTTGAATGACTTAGAATAATTTTCCCATATGAGAGTAATATACCATATTAAGAATATCCTCTTCCTTTCCCCCTTATTCTTCCTCTTCCCCCTTCCTCTCTTTGTCTCTCTTTATCTCCATATCTCCTACAAACATACTCATACACATGGTAGAAGGCAACTCAGTAGGTCCAGGCTGTCCTGTAGGTAAGGAAGAGACATATGGCCCAAATCTGGGAATAGATACTCCTGAACATGCTTCCCTTCTGAAGGGAAAACATAGGAAACCATGTGGATTTCCTTTAAGATTGAAAGAAATGGTTGAAACATTTTGCATTTCAGGGACAGCAGGAAAGAACTTTGGTGTCCAGTGTCCAGCACCATCAGCCTGTGGACATATGTGCTCAGTATCTAACACTACCAGAGGGTTCAGGGTAAACTCTGATACCTGATGACAAGTGATATCAGTTGTAGACTCTGGTGCCAGGTATCTGGTACCATCTGTGGGCACAGGGTAGACTCTGGTACCTGGCATCCAACATCATCAGTGAGTGCAAGGTGAAGTTCTTATGGATTTCAGGGGGTGTTCATGCCCAACAGGAGCAGAACTAGCATGAAACAAGGTTTTCCAGGCACTGTCCTGTTGGAGAGCCTTCAAGACTAACTCTAAAAGACCAGCGAATCCTACAGCTGTCCACTAGTCTTTCATGAATATCTGTTTTTACTTATATTAGCCAAGATTTCAGTCTATGTTTTTGTAACTTTGTCTGGTGGTATTCTGAATGCGTAGTTGTCTATATCACGAGTTCTCTCAGCCATTTTACCTCCAAGATCCCACCTCTAACCTTCAGACCAGCCACACTTAAACCATTGTTTAAGGTGACCTGCTGGTGTTTGTTGGTGCCCACTATTTAGAGGTATAGCTGCTGTGGCAGCCAATTGATCTATAATTTTCAGCTGAACTTACAGACTGGTCAGCAGCTTTCCAATATGTTGAACTCCAAGATGCTGAACTAGAGGGTATCAGGATGCTGGTACAATTACCAGGTAAGACCAGGGCCAGTAAAAGGCCTGGACCAGGTATCTTCTGGTTGTAAACATCTCATCCAATCAGCCCAGCATGTCATACAAGTGTGTCTAGACTGAGCAGCCCTATCGACAAAGCAGCCTTGAGTTATCTGCACAAAATAGCCAGCATAATGGCCTTTCTACACCATGCCTCACTAGAAAGTTTCCAATTCAAAAAGAGAATGAAACCTTGCCAGTCATTACTCCTGTATGCAATGACAAGCAGTATCAAAAGAAATTGGTTTGGCTCAGGGCAGCACAGCATTGTGTCTCAATAGTCTATCACCATAGCAACTACGATGGTGTGACAAGCATTCTCCTCCATCAGTTTAATTTTACATGTGAGTTGAGTGAGACGTGGAAAGGCTAAATGGCTCCCCTAGTGCTGTCCAACGTAATGCTTGTCCCTATGCTGTTGCCGTTGTGCCCAGGTTAAAGAATGGCTCCCACCAAGGCATATCAGTAAATTAAATGCCACTAGGCTCCCACAGCATTTTCCACTTCATTCTGCATTTAGAGAGAAAAGCACTGTTGACAGTACAAGTAATGGATTGTTCGCAGCAGTAATTGCCCATTTCAGCAAATCCCAGCCCTGAGTTGGGAGGGATTTCAACAATGTTCCCATTTGGAGCCAGAGGTGGGCAGTTTGACAGGGGTTTAATTGCATTGGCCATTGCATCCAATATGGTTTGTTTTATTTAATGTACCCCCCCTTTTCAAGGACAGAGCACCCCCCCCCGAAAAATGCCCATGCTCCTTATGTACTCATGTTAGTACTTAGCAGGGGTAAGAGCCCCATACAGCCATCTATTCAGCAGCAACAAAAAAAAAGTACCCAGAAAAGAGCTAAGTATAAACGCAATCCTCCCCAAGGATCTGGAAATGCAGAGAAAATCAAAGACCCTATTTCTGCCCAGTTAAGCGAAAGGCTATGAAGATAAAATTCTTCAGTAGAACTTGAAAAGTGCTGTGGTGGAGACATTGGCAAGGCATTAAGGAAGCATGAAGAGATAAGTCATTCAGATCCAGAGGAAAGAGAAGTAATGGGAAAGGTGCCTGAAATACTTTTAAGAAGTCACAATCCCTGGAACCCTAAAAGGCAGATAGGACCTGTCTAGGCAGACGGGAAGTGTCCGAGGCCGGAGAAGCAGCCCGGGCAAAGTCATGGTACTGAAAAAGACAATAGCTCCTCATTAGGGTAAGTCCATTTAGTTTGATGTGGCTGGGGCAGAGGTGTGGGAGGCGAAGTCTAATGTGGGTAGAGCAGTTTCTCTGCAGAGACAAACATTAAATATGAAGGATTTGGTGGAACTCAGCTTGCAAGGTAGCAGAGAGAGGAGTGTGCAAAGAGAAGGCCAGGTAAAGAGCCCTGGAGGTAGCAGGGGCCTAGGACGCTTGGAAAGGGAGAAAGGTTAGAAGGGCTATAACGAGCAGGCAGGGTAACGACCATGCTTAGGCAGTGTCAAGGAGTTCAGGTTTTTCTCTGAAGGGGGTGGGGGCATTAAAGAGTTTTAAGTAGATTTGAAAGATCAAGCTAGACCCCTGCTTATGTCCCAAGCTGCAGCCATGAGGAAGGACTCACCTCCCACCCTCAACAACTAATAAAACCAGACAGAGACACTAGACATTAGACAACCAAGGACAATGGTCCTTGAGGAAGGTGCCAGCTGACTGTGGCACAGGAGGACAGCCAGGTGGAGCCCAGCAGGGCATAGCAAAAATGACTGGAGTTGCAGAGTGGAGGACCGTAGAGAAGACTGCAGTTCAGGGAAAGTTCTGAATTCTGCTGAGAACTAATCAGCATATGCATATGAACAAATTACTCAATGCCAGGAAAAGAACTAAAGAAAGGATTAGTACTAACAGCTCCCAGAATACACACAGACTAGAAATAACGCCTGTTCTCACCAGTCAGACTGAAAAAAGAAAAAAAAAACTCCACATTCACAGAACATCAAGTAGTCAACACAGAAGGACCTGGCCTCTGTGGGGAGCCGAACACAGGTCCAGTTGTAGTTCAGGAAAAGCAAGAATCAAAAGTTGAGACTGATTCCAGTTAATTAAACTGTCACAGAACAAAGCTCAAGAATATTTCTTGAAATTCAGAAATGTCTTGTTCTTCAAATACCATAAAAATCAACATGTTGGCTATACCAGAGAAAATACCAGGTGTGCAAAGAGACAGGAAGTTGTGGCCACAATCAGACAATTGATAATCAAATAAGCATAAATATTAAAAATTTAGCAATTTGAAGGCATTAAGACAGATACAGCTGCATTCTATACATTCATAAAGTTGAGATTGGAAAATACTGAAATGAATCAAATCCAATTTCTAGAATTAAAAGTACAGTGTATGCAATGGAATTAATGGCAAATTAGACATTGCTGAAGAAAAAGTATTAATTGAAGGTATGGCTGTGGAAACTATGAAAAATGAAGCACAGAGAGAAAAGAGAGCAACCAGTATTCCTCCCAGCTCTAAAGCCTACAGCAACAATGGCTGGCCCAGAAAGACATCCCCAGTGGTGCAGTACTGGTACTTTTATCCTGGGAACAACCGACAACTGTCTAATTGGACTTAAGGTTAATGCAGTGGGAGGGAACTCATGCCTGGTACAGTCAACTATCCCATGGCTGGAGAGGTCATTGTCCTAGTTAGATTCCTGTGACCATGATGAACACCATGACCATAAGCAACTTGGGAAGAAAAGAATTTATTTGGCTTATACATCCTGATCACTGTTCATCATTGAGGGAAATGAGGTAGGAACATAAGCAGGGTAGGAACCTAAAGGAGGGTACTGAAGCAGAGACCTTGGAGGACTTTTGTACAGGCTTGCTCCCCTGGCTTGCTCAGCCACTTTTCTTACACAGCTCAGGGATGGCACCACCCCCAAAGGGCTGGACCTTCCTACATTAGTTAACAATCCAGAAAATGCCCCCCAGACATTCTCACATGCCAGTCTGATGGAGGAAATTCCTCATTTGGGGTTCCCTCTTCCCAAATGACTCCAATATGTAAAAAGTTGACAAAAACTAACCAGCACAGTCATAGATCCTAGAGGAGAGTCTACTACTGCCATTTCCCTAAATCAATATAATTTTTAACTGTATTCCAAATCTTTATCCTTAAACCCACAGATAGTGTAGCTCTCATCCCCTCATGAAAGAAGCTTCTTTCTGCAACAGATGGGATGATTACAGAGAGT